CTAACAATAAAACATAGTACTGACTTACCATGATATTGTCTTTTTTAATATTTCGGAATAGTTGAGAAATGCTTATATAGTACACTACTCTACATATACAAATAAGAAGAACATTATTATACTTTTTTCTATTTCTGCATTTAATCGTAAATGGCAAAGACAATTTCAATAAATTTATCTACCAAAATAAATTGCGTGTATACGTATACATATATCAAAAGAAACCGATAATATATCGAAATGTCATTAAAAATAATCCGTTATGCCGCGGCAGAGCGGCAGAACGGCAGAGCGGCAGAGCGGCAGAGCGGCAGAACGGCAGAACGGCAGAGCGGCAGAGCGGCAGAACGGCAGAACGGCAGAGAGAACGGCAAGAATTTTGAAATGCTCCCTAACCGAAGAGTTTATCTTTGCTGCACGCGTTCTGGGCGATTACTAAATAAACGGTCTTGGCGTTTTTTGAAGAACCAGCAAGCACTGCTCTTGTGAATATATCGATTTTCTCCATTAATTTGAAAATATAATTGTTCATCTTTTGGATGAATATCAGTTTTTATTTTCATTCGTTTGTATTTGATTTTTTACATGATTTGAAAGTATTTAGTAAGCGAAACCAAAAAAGAAGAGGCGTTTTCTTGGTCTTTCTTCTTTTGATTAGAAATATTGGACAGTGTTGAATGAAAGTCAAGAAATATAAGTGTGAATGCACATGCACGATAGAGATAATATTGAGAATATTGGAGACGTCCCTGAAGTTATTAGTGAACTTTAAATGCTTCAAATTAACGTTGAAAAACACTCTAAAACATTTCAAATACAACAAAGCAGTTAATCATGCGTATATTCAACATATACAAACTATTAACAATAGACTACTGAGAAATTCGATCACTCCAAATAAACAATGCCATCTGGTAACTACGGGTGGCAGTATTACTATTACTCATGTATTACATTACCGAGGGAATTGACACTAAAAGGTATATATTACTTTTACTGGTAACAGTGATCTTCCATGTATTCCTATTACTAGTAACAGTAATACTGGCAGTATTAGTGTTACCAGTAACAGTAATACTGGCAGTATTCCTATTACCAGTAACAGTAATATTCATAAAATTAGTATTACTTTTCATTAAAGTATACAAGAAAAACAAAATTCAGTAGGGGCGCCACTATCAACGCGAACTGTTTTCGCTTATTAGTTTTTCTGTTCTATAAACTGGTAAAGTGCGAGCGAAATCTAAATGGAAGGACACTCGCCTTAAAGTAAATTTATTTTTATATTAATTGATATCGACATTATTTTCTATTTTTATCACTCTCAAAAAAAGATTATGTCGTCTTCTAAAGAATATTCCATTTGCCCGAGCGTCGGTAGGCCGAGAGAACTTTGTGTGCTCGTCGCCGAATGTACGCATCCGGATCACGATTGAATATTTCTAATGCAGCCAAAACTTGCATCTCCATATGATCGGGCGAACCGTCACACAACGTGTGCAACACCTTTTCACAGGAAACAAAAGAAAAAAAGGACTGTAGACACACATGCAAGGAGAATTAACTGAATTACCTGTTCTCGAACATTGCTTGCTGGATCATCGATCATTTCCAGCACACGTGCCCAGAAAAGATCAATGTCATCCTTGACTCGACACGGACAAATTTCTTTCAATGCTCTTTGTCTCACCACGGGGTCAACATGATTCGTCAAAGCGAGTATTGTATCAATATCCTGTGTATCACGACAAAGCTTGACGGCATCTTTTGTCGGTAAATGACTCATCTCGGAATCTTTGGAAGAAGAAGACATCTGACCGGATTCCTTGTACTATTCGCTTCACAAAATCCTGACACTTCATATATAGTTTGACACCAAAGAAATATTTCTTTAGATTGTGCAATACCATTCTACGGTGAGAATTGCCCAATTCTTATGCAAGCATACAACGTTGGTGTATGTGTGTCATCGAAACCTCCTACATCTAAAGTGTACGTATGTTGCAATTTCTGATCAGTCGATGACCAGGAAACATAGCCTCTAGACATTTTGTGCTGCTATTTTATCTAACATTGCCCTGCGAAAACACAAAGTTATCAGTAGAAACCATATATTGGAGAACTCAAAAATCGCGTTTATTTTTCGAAATGAATCAGGATTTTCGCATTCATTTCAATTTCCGGCTTGTACTTATGGATCTCTGGTGCCCTGACGTATCTAAAGCAAGCATGCTGTTAGCTGAAATTGATGAGAGCGCATAAAGTATCAAATCAGCTCATCTGGACTTTTCGTGTCCGATCAGGTGGAATTATATATCGGTGAAAAACGCACATAGGCCGACATTTGCTGCTAAAGAATACCGATGGTTTATTTTTTCCTCCATTCACCATCATACCATGTGTGTAGATAGTACTCGTCGAGACGCATCCAACGGTGTGTGTTTTGAGTCTACAATATGGTTTAGTCAAAAGTTATTTCACAAATAAAATTTTCGTGAAGCTTGGGTACTTAGGGAAAGGTAGCGTTTTCGAGCTTTCTTTTCCAATTGAATAAGAATATTTCATATACCGGTCAATTCAGCAAGACTTACTCTATCTTTATATATGTTTAGTATATTATGTAACCCGCTAGAGAACAATTTGAACAAAAAAAATTTTCTGCATTATGGATACCTCAAAAACTGACGAGGGAACCGATTTAACTGTTAAATCGTTTCTTCCATAAGACTTAGTGGACTATAGGTTATCAACTATGCTGATTCCGAATATGCAGAGTTGTTTAGTGTGTGTATATTGTGCTATTGAAGTCCATGAAATATAGGGATTTCTGAAATTTGTGTCACTATTGGTAGTTGTCGTATATTCTGTGTCTGTGCAGACGTAACGAAGAGAAAACCGAAGAGGAAAAATTCTTTTACTGATAAGTTATGTGTGTTATATAATAGAGCTGCGACAAATAGCATTTTTCTTTTCTTTTTTGTGTTCTTATACACGTTATATATAATTAAATGTGTACGACCGTTATAACGAGGCGGATAATCGATCATTTGATGATGATGATGAAGTCGTTGAAGAGGAAGGTGATTTTGGAATGTGTACTGCTTGTGTTTGCGCTGACAGAGATACCTCGGTTGAAGAACCTTTTGAAACAAATGAATGTAACGTAGAGCGAAAGCCGAGGTTTCGTAACAGCAAGGTGACCTCATATGGTGTTGTTCACACTGAATACAACTGCGATATTGTGGTTGATTTCCTAGAAATAAATTTATCCGAGTTATTTATTATTTGTTACGATATATCACTGGTTGACGATGTTGCGAAAGATCGGTCGGCTGGATGGACTGCCACGTACCTTTATATATGACAGCGCCTGTAGCGTGTGGCTCTATTTTAAAAAAACGATATCATCAAGCGGGATCGATTAAACGTTCGGCCTTCTAGGATTTCATTGCTGGTTCCAATATGTACACTGATAGAATGCATCAAGTGAATCACAATCGGTTGATGTGTAAAAAAGAAAGAAACATTGATAATGACCCAACGATGACTAATGTCAACTCACAGGTGTGCGAACAGTTAAATTCATGGTTAAAGCAATATGTCAATATCTTGTCAATGTTTTCTGGCCAGCGATCAACATATTACTATTTATTTCTATTCCAATTGTCCAACTGTGATTGTACAGACATACGCGCTAATGAACGTTGTTATGCCACATAAACGTATGTTTATTCTAACATCAGTTTGAATTTCTTGTTGTGAACTTTCGTTGATATTCGGAGTGCAGTTTTTAGTCATAAAACCTGATTTGTGGGGAAAGATTGATGATATGTGCTTGAAATATTTTCTAAGCTGGTGATCCGGCGTGTGTAATGTATAGTGAACTTCTGAAATCCTAATAGCATCAAATATATATATATATATATATACATAAGTGTGTTTTGTAGTGTATGTAATAGTTATGGTATCTGTGCAAGGCGTAGTGCATAGTTCTGAAATCCTGAAATCTTGAAATCCTAATAGCCTCAGATATGCATATATATATATATATATACATACATATTTATACATATATATGTATATATGAGAGGTAGATGGGGACTTCTTGGATTTCTCGGACCTGAATATCATTAACTACCTTGCGTAGACAACCCTCAGGAGATGTCCACAACCATTTCATAACATCGAGAAGATGAGTTTCTGTTCTCGATAGGCACAGTGTTTCGAATTGTATCGGTCGGTAACTCAGTGGTGGCATGTGCAATGTGAAGTTGACTCGAAATGACAACGAATATCTGGAGCTGAGACAACTCACAGATCACATGAAGAAGGAAATACAAGAACCAAACGATTTGTTCACATTCGGGAGTTTACTGGTGAAGATGGGTGAATATGAGAAAGCAGAAGAGTTTTATTTGATCATGTCTGAGACTAGTTCGGTGAATAGCAGTAATATTGGAGTTATTTATAATAATCTTGGAGAACATTAATTTTTTTAAGACCTTTCCGGGTCGAATTATAGGAAAAATACTGAAGAACGCCGCAAAAACCAAGCTTTTCAGTTTTAGAAACGCTATAACTCGATGGAGAAAGGTCTAAAATAAAATTCAAAAATATACCTCTGCAATTGTGTCTTGAGTACCTCTGGTAAAATTTTTAACTCGATCGGAAGAAATTTAAGAGGGTGCGTAATGTGACACATTGAAGCTCGGTAGCAAAAAATAGTTTTCGAGTAAAAACGCATTTTGTACACAGGTCACTTTTTGCCGTGCCGCTTGTATCTCTGCGAAAACTCATCAGCAACTTTTGGAAAACATCTCATTGTGAAAAAAATACTTTCTTCTATCAGACTATGTGTAGAAAACTTTTGAATGTACAAAAAGCAGCGAAAAATTTATGTTTTATGAAACTAAACCTTTTCTGTCCTGAAGAAAACTTGCAAACGGTTAGGGTTTTTTAAAAATGCGGATTCTTTTCGTGTGTATACGATTGAAACAATGGATGGCATTTATCCTGGAGCACTATTTGTGCCAATATCAAAGGTTTCTGGGGGATTTCTGACAAATCTTATAAACGCCCTAGATACCCGATTTTTCTGAAATTCCGGTATTTCAGCGTTGGATATCAAAACTACTGCTATGTTTGGAATCAGAAGCAAAAACTGAATGGACTAATGTGTAGTTCAGGGATTTTGGACAACATCAACTTTTTAGCAAAAATCTTAGTCAAAAGGTTCGAAAAAAATTTTTGTTGTCCGAAAACCCGGAAGTACACATTAGTCCAGTCAGTTTTTGATTCTGATTCTAAATATAGCAATAGTTTTGCGAAAACACGAGAGCCTGATGCCGGAAACTGCAAAATACGAGTATATTTCCTTATTTTTTGCTACTTCGAAAACATTTATTTGCTCAACAGGGAAACAATATTTTCCAAAACCGATACTTAACCTTTTAGTGGGTCTGAGTCGATCACACGATATTAAAATATTGGCTTCATCTTCTAATTAAAATGAGTTGAAGGTTTTACCGCGACCGGAGGAGGTATTTCAGTTATGGTAGAAACACTGAAATTTTTCATGGGGTTATGGTATTTGAACGGAGCCCAATATAGATCTTTTAGATTCAGTTTTTCATGTAGAATAAAAAAGAAAAACGTTTTTAGACCTATATTTCATAAAGCCGAGACCGTACTTGTTGGTCTGAAGTCCTACAACGGTTATACCTTTTCTTTTCATGTTTGCATGTCTACACAGATCAGATTTGATTTTTTAGAGTGGAGAGATTTTGTCGCTTTTAACCCTGTAGCGCAATTCTAAATACCAAAAGATAGTATTTCAGAGGATATTTGTATTTGCGACTGTAAGCATTTCAGTTTCGAAAACAGGGGTAAACTCTTATCCCTTTTTTCATTTGCTGTTGAAGCAATGTTTTTAAAAAATGAAAGGGTTGTTTCATTTTAAATGCAAAGCGAAAATATGTTGGATATGGTCGCTAACACAAATACCTATTATGGTTTTGTAATACACGCTTTTTTAAAGAGTGTAATCTAGAGAGTCATGTAAACGTAAGAAGCATCGCAGAGTTCAACGGATATGCTTTCGAGACGGGGCTTCTAGAAAGTGCCTGGAAAGTAAGTTTTGCAGATAGTTTCTGAAACGTTTCTAAGAAAAAAGGATTTGCCAAGATCTATGCCAAAAGGTACAGGAGTTGACAAGATTTTTGCAGTATATAATAATGATAAAAAATATTTTAGTTTCAAAGAGAGGAGCAGATTTCGCATATTCTCCGGCGAGATTTTATTAAGTTGGATCCTATGATGAAATACTTTAAGAAAGATTATACAACGATGAGACAAACATAATGAACGAAAAAAGTATAATATATTAATGAACTATAAATCTATCTGTCTATGATCAAACTGACAGAAACAAAATGTCAAATAAAATACCACTTCGCAAAATAAATACAATGTACTATGATGAAAGAAAAATTAAAACAAATATCAAAGGTGGTTTACATCAAGTATTTAAAACAAATATCAAAATTATTTCATGATAATAATAATGTCGAAATGGTTGGGGAAAAAATGAAAAAAAATCGTATAATTTCTCCAAAACTGAAACTAAATAGTAAACACCTTCAGTCGTACTATTGAAGAATTAGATTATATTTAATTATTGGAGGACATAACTGAACAGAAATCGAAATTTTCCACAGAAGCTGATTAAGGAAAGTTTTTGGATAACACGTTATTCGTTCGCCGTGGAAATTAAAATCGTTTGTTGGTTATTCGTGGTTATGCTTCTGTTCTGTTTGGGTTTGAATACATTCGGAAGCAATAAAGAGTCAGATGTGGATATATGGCTAACCGACCCCGATAAATCCATTTTATTCCAAAAACGAAGTCCAATGCAGCTGTCTTTTGGTAATGGCTCTAATATCAATGCAAGCATTATCAATATAGATGAGACACAAATGTATCAGTCTATTGACGGTTTTGGTTTTACTTTAACCGGCGGTAGCGCCATGCATATAAATCGCATGAAAGCAACGGCACGTGCAGCCATGTTAAAAGAATTATTTTCCATAAATGATAATGATATTGGCGTTAGCTATTTGCGAATCAGCATAGGTGCATCGGATTTAGACGAGTATGTTTTTTCTTACAATGATCTTTCCAGGGATGAAGAAGCCGATATAAACATGGATCAATTTAGTCTAGCGCCTGATAAAACGCATTTAATACCGGTGTTGAAAGAAATACTAGCTATTAATCCAGATATAAAAATAATGAGTTCGCCTTGGTCCCCACCAACATGGATGAAAACGAATAGAAATTCAATAGGCGGCAGTTTACGACCGGAATATTACAATGCATATGCAAAATATTTTGTCAAATACATACAAGAAATGAAAGCTGAGGGGATAATTATTGATGCAATTACAATTCAAAATGAACCACTGCATCCGGGCAATAATCCTAGCATGCTAATGTTAGCTGAAGAGCAAGCTGCTTTTGTTAAACAGAGTTTGGGCCCTGCATTTAGAGAACTTGGTATCAATACGAAGATTATTTTGTACGATCATAATGCCGACAGGCCAGATTATCCAATTACAGTGCTGAATGATCTCGAAGCTAAACAATATGTGGATGGCTCTGCCTTTCATTTGTACGGCGGTAGTATTGATGCACTATTACAGGTACACAATGCACATCCAGACAAACACATATATTTCACAGAACAATGGGTAGGCGCTCCTGGGAATTTAAAAGGCGACTTGATGTGGCATGTTAAAAACTTGATTATAGGTGCTACTCGTAATTGGAGCCGTAATGTGTTAGAATGGAACTTAGCAGCTGATCCCTATTTAAAACCACATACGCCGGGCGGCTGTACTCAGTGTTTGGGTGCCATTACGATTGATGGAAACAATATTACACGTAATCCTGCATATTATATAATAGCACATGCAGCTAAATTTGTGCGCCCGGATTCTGTAAGAATTGCATCTAATACTCCGCATAAGCTTCCGAACGTAGCGTTTAAAACGCCAAATGGCAAAATAGTTTTAATTGTGCTGAATGAAAATGATTCTTCGCAAACTTTTAATATTTGCTTTAACAGTAACAGGCTTGTTGTTGCTACTGAGCTTAGCGCCGGTACAGTGGGCACTTATGTGTGGTAAATATGTCTGTTGATAACTAGACTATTTATTATGCGTTTTGAGCTGAATAGTAGTTTAAATTTTAAATGTGTTGGATTTTATTTCACTGCAGAAACAAAAGTTCTCTTTTCTCTTCAGAAAATACTGCTTTAAAACTCATTGCGTTTAAAACGATCTTCTTTTTTCAATCGGAGTTCAGTTCAGTTGTTGTAGAATAAATAAATGTAAGTAAAATATCCAGGGGCGCCCCGGTACCTCGGAGACAGGGGGGGAGGATGTCACTTTCGGAGTAAACTTTTATGCTTTTAAAAATTGGAGGAAAACTAAAAAAAGATAAATATTCTAAGCAGTTATCACGAAGAAAGGACTTTCTTATTTTTTGCTCTTCAGTTAACAAGGTCTTACAACTAATTTTAATTTTAATTTGATTGTATCAACAAATTCAAAAGAATCTTTCAAATATGAACCAGCCTCTGATATTGCTGGTAGTAATAAGTTAACCAAATATTTAGCCGTGTTGTGATTATAGTCAGATACACCAGACGCTTACTTCCTACCTGAGATGCACAAATGTAATCTTCCTGTTATCCCGTTATAATCGTTTCGTTATTTCTAGTTATGGTGCTTATAATCACAACACGGCTAGATATTTTATTTGAATTATTGATAAGTAATGTGACAAGTGAGGTGATTAGAGGTGTAAAAATAAGATAAACTAACACAAAAAATTTTACTATTAACAAACACGTCAAAAAAGTCCTTATTCCTGCTCCTTATCATGGAATATGTACATGACTTCAATTAACAAACTCTGAACTATTCTCAAACAATCGTAGAAACAGTCGATTTTTGCCTTCAAAGCTAGTAACCGTTTGTAACATATATTCAGCTCAATATTTAGATACAAAAATAAAGATTCAAAAAGAGTGAGCTGTGGATATGACTGTTATGACTGTAAGGGACTTGTTTCGTATTAAAAAAAGAAAAGACGTATACTCTAACCATGAGGATTTTTTTCGCATAAAAATTCGGAGAAACTAGGCGTTACGGGGGATCGCGCGTTTATTATTAACAGCGTGCCATCGCTAATGTAAATTAAAACTGCGATTTTTTCGCGAATCGCGGTCACCCGTAACGCTTAGTTTCTCGCGGTTTTAACCGTAACTGCGTTTCACAGCGAGTATACTAACGTATTCGAGTAAATCTCGGTTGCGTACAAAACCGCGAGAAACTAAACGTTGCGAGTGACCATGATTTGCGAAAAAAACGCGTGAAACCGCGGTTTTAAACTGCTTTATTGATGGTACGCAGTTTCGCAAACAAAAGGATGCATTACGGTTTGTTGCCAACCGCGGTGCAACATACCATTTATTGAAATTTCATCACTTCCAACGTCAACAGTATACGTCATCTGCTCTGTTGAAATACGACATCTGATAGAGTAACTCAAGTACTACTGATAATCAAAACAAGAATTTCAGAAAGTATGTTGCTGATGAAACTGCCGATGCTCAAACATGCTCCATAACCAAATATCTTAGATACTTTACATTGCAGACTACATGACTCATCCGGTATCGCGTTTAACCGATGAGAGATCTAGAACCGCGACTTATCACAGTAGAAAACGCGGTTGTGAACTTCAACTGTGTAGTTAGAAAAACGCGTTTACCTCCGTTCTGCAGCTGAAAACGCGTTCTCTAGCGCTAAAACCGCGTTTTTCGATGACTCACCGGTTAACTGCGGTGCTCGATGAGACACATAAAACGCGTTTTCTAGCGCTAAAATCGCGTTTTTAGATGATTCATCGATTAATCACGCTGCTCGATGAGTCGTATACCTATATGAATCATCAAAACCGTGGTTAACCGATGAGTCATCGAAAAACACGGTTTTAGCGCTAGAAAACGCGTTTTCAGCTGATAAATAGAAATAAACGCCTTTTCCTGGCAAAAAGGCTGTGGAGAATTTTTGAGCCCTGGTCAGAGCTGATAATCTCTACTATGTGAATATTCCGTTCGTTTTTCTTTCTGTTTTTAATGTTTGTTGCATTATTATCGACACTAAAATACAAGATCGATGATTATTTTTTGAATAATTCAAGAGGAATAAAAGATAGAGACTTGTGATTTTCATCATTCGCTAGCCACGCGCGAAATATTTCCAAGAGCTATCTTAACATTAAAGGTCAACAAGTAGTTGTCCGTGCGTCCCAGATTTCTTCTGCAATTCTAATGAACCAGTATGAGCGCATCTATAATTTCAAGACTGACGCTGACTTCAAGAATGCCAACCAAAAACAGCATTAATAAAAAGCATGAAATGCTTTGCAGGAACGAAGTGTAGCCTTACTACAAGTTTCTAGCAGATATGTGCCAGAAATTCTAATCATAAAAAAAAGAAAAACAACCGCGATTTAAGCACGAACCGCGGTATTGAATTGAAAAATTGCAGTTTGTACGTAAACTGCGGACAGCGGTATGTATTTCAGAAACCAAGATTAACCGTGATTGTTCGAAAACCGCACTTTCATGGTAGAAAACGCGCATATTGTTCAGATCGCAGATGACTGCGTTTTGCATAAAACTGCGATGGATCCCGGTTGAAGTACAACGTCAGGTTTTGAATAGAAGGACTGTATTTCTTTTTACGACCGCAGTAAATCGCGTGTCTTCTTGAACTTCGATTAATCGCCACTTCGAAAAACCGCGACTGCAACGGAGGAAACCGCATTCTGCTGCTGATTTGCGTACAACCGCGGTTAATCAATGCGCGCAGTTGACCGGAGCTCAATGTCAAAAACGCGATTCTTACTAATCAAATTGTGATTATAAATTCATATCGCGAGCAACTGCGTGCGTTCGTTAACCACAGTTTCATAACAAAATGCGGTTTTGGATAAGAGGACCGCGATTTAGAAGGATTTTTAGCCAGAAAACGCCTTTAGCCGCGGTTATGAAACCGAAAAAATCCTCATTGGTCAAAAAAGATTCCAGTTAAAGATGTTTTGACTATGATTCATCATTCCTCACTCGAATTAGAAAAATAAACCGTAGTGCATGTACGAAGAGACTTAAACTTAAAAAATAAAAACAATTTAAATAAAAAATTAATCCTTAAAAAATGATGAGGATAATAGCGCTTTTTACCGTTTTTCTACTTTATTTTGTTGTAGTTAACGTGTCATATGCCTGTATTTTAATATTTTTCAAAAGCACACTCTGAAAAAAACGTGTTTTCGAATTTTTAGAAAACTCGTTGAAAAACTCTGGTGAAAGCTTTGAAACCTGGAGAATTGAATTCTGTTTTTTAACAAAAAACGGAGTTTTTCACTTGTTTCTGTTTTTCAGCTCGTTTTAGTTCTTGAGACACTTTGTTTTTCATTACGTTGAAAACATAGTTTTTTATGTGAGTTGTTTGAAGATGTAGAAGCTTATATATCGTCTTGTTTTTGAGTAAATCTGTTAACGTATATATATGAATAGATTTATTCTAAAACAAGAACGATCATTTAACCAGATCCGAAATGCAAACAGTCCCATGAAAGTGCCTCTTTTTCCCCCGACTCCATTCAAAAACATGGAATTTTAATTAATAATTGACTGCTAAGTAAGCTCTAGAGATAATTAGTTAATAAATACCTCATTTTATAGCCCAGATCCTTCTCTCTCTACCGTACGGTTTGAGCTCATTATCGTTTAAACTCATTAAGCTAATTAAAGCACAATCAACTGCACTCGAGATTGTCTTTTTTTCTTTTTATGCATTGGGGAGAAAAGAGACACTCGTATAATTTGTGCGGGGGGAAAAGAGGCATCATTCCATTGAAATACACGGAATTCTCAGAGACAAACCTTCCAAACAGCACAAAGCATTAAGCAGAAAATCGGACCCATTAGGACAATATTTAGCCGTGTTGTGATTATAATCAGGTACACCAGACACTTACTTCCCACCTGAGATGCACAAATGCAATCTTCCTGTTCGTTCCATTATTTCTAGTTATCGTGCATATAATCACAACACGGCTAAATATTTGACTAACTTATTATTACCAGCAATGTCAGAGGCTGATACATATTTGAAGGTTTCTTTAGACTTTGCTGATAAGTAAGTATTTAGACAGAAAAATATTCAAAAAGAGTGGTCTATGGATATGACTGTTATGATTGTGATGGAAGATATATTGCTCAGATTAGTCGAAGAATCTGTAAACGAGAGAGTGAACATAAGAAATCCATTGTTGGACAAGGCTTTTCGAGAATTGCTCAACGTTGGGTCCAAAAGGGACATACGAACAATTGTAACTCAAAAGTGTTGGCACTTGAATCTAATGCAACAAAACGAGTAATAAAAGAGAGTTTATTAGTGGACTTGTTTC